GTGGCCCGGTAAGTGGTAGTGTACGTTAGTATGAATATATCTAACTACCATAACTTATATCACGTCACATCTAACTCACGGAGACAAAAGGTGGACTCCGCACAGGTTTCCCACGGAATGCGTTAGGAACGGTATTCCACCATTGCACTCTGTCATAAAATGACGTTATTTATCATTGGCTCAAATATCCGCAGCCAAGATATCCCGCGTGACTATTCACCAACAAACAACTTACCGGGAGAAGGGCTCTGAAAATGACGCGGTATTGGTCCTTAGTGATTTTGCAGACATTTTATTATTTTAAGGATTGTCAGGAGGCTCAAATGACCATAATTTAGCCATAATTTGAGCGTCATTTTCTTAAAATGACGTTTGAAATAACATAATTTTATTAGATTCCAGATGTTTAGCTGCATAATAGTATGTAAACTAGATCATATCACAGTTAGGCTGAAACTAAGCACACGTTGGTGGTAATCTAGGCATAGTTTTTAGAGGGCCTTCTCCTGGTAAGTAGTCTGGCCGCCCTGTGACCTGGCCGTAGTTGTTCAGAGTTTCTAACGAGGTATTATAGTACATGATTATTTTGCGTAGATTTATCAGGTGCTAAACTCGAACTTACACTGGTACCAAGGTCGCTTCGACCTACATGATCTAAGATATGGAACGAAATTACACAGACACATGCAGCTCCCATCAAAAAGGACATCTCACACTGTCCCCGAAGCGCATCCTGATCAATCGGCCATGGCCACTGATGATAGAATAGGGTTTTCAATAAGGATTGCCACGTGTTTCGACTTTCAGTTAGGACCTGTAATCCTACCTCTGTATTGGCTGAAAATAGCGGTCTAATTTTACCACCTCCAACGTGCAGTTCCTCTTCCTGTACACAAGTTTACCAGCCAAGTCGCGCTTGAGGGCCTCGTACATGCTAACACGCGCTTGGATTTCATCGATGACAGCCTGTCGTTCACGAGTAAGAGCTTCTCGGCTCGCAATATGTTCTCGGCGCTCGTGGTCAAGTTGTTGTTTCTCACTTTCAAGAACTTGCCGAGTTTCTTCTAGCGCTCTTTGTGCGTTGTTGAGAGCTTGCCGTGTCTCGTTATGTCGTTGTCGTTCTTGAGCAATTATACCTTCATGCGTCTGTCGTTCTTGAGCAAGTATACCCTCATGCGCCTGTCGTTCTTGAGCAAGTATATCCTCATGCGACTGTCTTTCTTGAGCAAGTATATCCTCATGCGCCCGTCTTTCTTGAGCAAGTATACCCTCATGCGCCCGTCTTTTTTGAGCAAGTATACCCTCATGCGCCTGTATTTCTTGATCGAGCCTCTTTCGCTCTTCTGTAGTTGTTTGTCTCTGCTGGCCAAGTGCTTGCTGCGTGCCATTGTGACGCTCTTGTTCGCGATCGAGGGCCGTCCGGGATGCTTTCAGTGCTTGTACTGTATCTCTCAGAGTCTCCTTAGTAGCATGATGGGCTTGTTTCTCGGCCTCAAGAGCCTCTTGGGCTGAGTTATGTGCTGCTCGTACTTGATCAAGACTTTGTTTGTGTTCCCGCTCCAAGACCCTTTGGCTTGTAATATGCGCCCCTCGCTCGCGGCTACGAGCTTGTCTTTCGGTCTCAAGATCTTGTCTAGTCACCCTATGCTCTTCTCGCTCGCGGTTACAAGCTTGCTTTTCGGTCTCAAGATCTTGTCTAGTCACCCTATGCGCCTCTCGCTCAATGTCTATGATCTCACGATCGAACGCTTCGAGTTCGCGCTCGACAGCCTCGTGCAGGCGTTTGATAGCCAGCCGGTGGTGGTCGATGGCGTCGCTATTCATTTTCTCGAGAGGGAGCAAAGCAAAGAGAGTCTATAGAAGATCCAGCTTTGATCATTTGGCGCTCCATTATCTCGCTGCAGGATCTAGACGGTCAGGGTAATAGGAGAGTTTAATCCACCCGTTGAGGTCTGAGGCCGCAAAGCTTTGTAGTCAATTTACGAAGTCAGACTGGTCAGTCTCTTATGTATGTTGGAGAACAAAATCAAAGATCGTGTCTTGAGTCAAATGAGCGTGTGTTCTGCAGGATGAGCTGTATTAAATCATGTGGCCATTGGCTATTGGCTCGAAGGGAGTGATGCGATCTCCGGTCCCTCACCAGGGATTGTCGCTCCCACTTTCCTGTTCTCTACTGATAATCGGGGAAAGCTGAGAAGATGGGGCTTGTTGAGATTCAATGAATCGACTGACATTTCATGGGAACACATCTAGTAGAAGCTCAGATAGCGTAGGCTTTGGCAGCACATAAGTTTTTGCTATTCATGCTTCCAATCTTTGAGCCAATCACTTCGCTACTGGCGCCTCAATTACAGTAGTGCCTCTACGGGGAGACTCACTCTAATCCTCCCCGTATGCACACACGAGGCTACAAAGTACCATAGTGCCTAACGGGCCGATGCACGGCTAAGGTTGCACCGAACCATCTAGCGTAGTTAGTTAACCAGAAACCTTAGCAAGGGCCGAAGGAAGGTGCCAAACTAGTGTCAGTTTCCCCCTCTCATGTATCTTAGTTCTTCACGCTCAGTTAGTGATACTCATTGACAATGCTCTGATTCCCTTGCTGAGCTAGTTAGTACATTCTGGACGTGTGGAGAATGCTTGGGGGCTGATTTTTGTCAAACGTTGAAAAGTTCGAATGCGGCGCCTATGGCGAATCATTGATCCTATCCGTAATGAGTCATTACGTCTCTCTAACGTGGGCTGTTGGCTTTTGTTCTAGCGAATCAACCCTCCTTCGCCAGGCAATACACAAACAGTCGCCGGGTATCATAGGCTGCGCCGAAGCATGATCTACTAGGTAGGTAGGTGCCGCTGCTGAGCCGCAAGCCATGAGCAAACCCAAACCTAAGCCCCCTTTTCCTCCGTTTTTTCCCAGGCGCCGTTGCTGTTTCAAGGCGTTGAAAAGCATTCAAAAGAGGGCAAGGCCTCTCAATCTCTCTCTCTCTCATTCTTTGCCTGTCCTCCTTGAATAATTACTTTGAATTATTGGGGGTCGAAGGACCCAGATCGTCACGTTTTACCTATTTTTCTTCTTTCTCTTGCGGAGTGGTCCTCTTCTTGCCTCGGATCAAATAATGGCGCTTTCTGCTCGCCGGCACGGCCAGTCACCGTCGGCGGAAATCCAGCCTTATCATGCCCGAGCAGCAGTTGAGTGGGGCCAGTTCAGGGAAGGGTGTATTCTGTGGATACGGCCTGAGGCGTCGGTGCATGAATTTGATCCTTCTTTGACGGCCGGTCTTCAGATGGATAAATGGGTGTATGATCATCCGTGCGTGGTTATGTCGTTTCATCAACATGCTGTGAAGAGGCAGATGATTGTTTGCGTTGCTCCGGTGTGTTTCCTTTCTCTCTCTCGCTTTTTCCGTCGTCGATTTTGGCCCTGCCCCGTTTCCTGCCTTTACAAAAAGCTTACGGCTGATGAGTAGTGAAAGCTTACCTCCCAACCAAAGGATGGCTTGAACCAAAATCTTCCCATTGCCCCAATAAATCCTATCAATGGCATTCAGCTGTCGTTGCGGGGCGGTCGAAAGCTGGACAGACTTTCGTATGTGAAGAAAGTGCGCTTTGAAGTCGATGTGCGGCTCCTTGCCCTCTGGGCTGGTGGTGCTAGAGCCGACACACTGCGCCTCACGAAGGGCTCCTGGAAAATATTGCTGAGGGAGATAACGGCGGCTGTGGTTCCATGGGTTCCAGTTCCGGGCACGAGACTCGCTCCCGCTGCTCCTCGCATGGTGGCAGCTGTTGAGGTGGAAATTCCTCAAATTGCGGCAGGCGGCGTCTCGCCGGGAGACCTTGAGGCACAGCCTCTGCTTGAGCGCTCTTCTCGACGGTCTCCCGGCCAAGTGCTTGGTGGTGATGACACCATGGTAGGAGAGTCGTATGGAATGGTCTGGTGGGTTTGGCTGGGTGTTATTGAGCCGCCGTTGAAGCTCGTGCTCTGTGTTCCAACTTTGGTAGTGCTGATCGTGGTAGTCATCGTGAAGGTTCTGCTGGCTCCCGTCTGTATTGCCTTGTTGAAGCTATTCCGTGTGGTCTGCAAGGCTTCTGGCGGTGGACCTGTGTTGACGTGCAATAATTTCGGAAAGCTTTTGTTCGGCGCATTGACCGGGGAGGATCTCGCGCGAGTGGTGGATCGCATGAAGGTTAATGAGTAAGTTTGGGAAGTGTGTTGCTTCTTGAGCTAACATACGTAATTCACCGTCCGAAATAAGCTTTGTGTTTTGAGCATGGCTGGGTTTCAAGAACTTCTTGAGTATCTCAACACCGATATGACGATAGCGCGTTTCTGAGATCGATAGGCGGGCTATCCTGAGCATCTCAACTCTATAAATCTCTGATATGGTCTATGGGATTATCGATATATGAACTCAATTATTCTGGTTGATAGACTAGTATTAGCAAAGCACTAAAAAGAAATGCCTATGTTATTAAATTATAAAAGAGTTCGTTATACTTTGCTGTAGCTTTGAATCCTTGTAGATGCTTGTGTACTTTCTGAAAGCCTTTTGAACAATTTGAACATTTAGAAAACAGCGGTGTCAGGATGTGCTCCATAATCACTACCGCTGGGCCAAAAGGACGACATGTCGCAGAACACCTACAACACAGGGCACAACCACTGCAGTTAAATACCATGCCCCTCGGCTTGGCGTTCCTGTCAAGCACAACATGTTTTTGGGGATAAAATGCCAAGCTCTTCGTAACACTTTGACCCGCGCTGTATGATTTGCTCTTGAAACCCCTCCCCTCCCAATTAGAAAATGGGATCGGAATCGGGGTCATGTCTAAGATTGACCAGACCATCCCCGCAAACTGGTAGTGGGGCGTGCTCAAAGGATGGTAAGGTATGGCGGCTACACACACCCTTGGTAGGCAGCTGGCGAAGAGTTCACAAAATAGGCTTGCCATCTAAGCTCCCAGACTCTCTCTATTTGAGACACATTAGGGACGCCATTAGCCATGCAAGGAGTAAATATCTGGAAAAACCTCGACGAGTGTGCCTTCTATGAGAACACGATCATCTTGGAGTTGCTAGATCGGTCACAGGAAGAATCGCCGACCAATATTGTTAAAGCGGAACGCAGAAGTAATCCTAATAACACTAATGAAGTTACCGAATGGTTCTGCGACTTCTTGGACGATTTTGCGCTCATTGCGGCCGGCCCCGGTGGAGCGTCTAACGTGACGGCTGCCTGCCTAGAAAGAGAAGAGCTGCCAACGAGGACTCTCACGGTCCGAGTGGCAAAGAATGAATCATTCAAACCTTCAGAGATACAATATCTCGAGGGAATCATGACAATCGTGAACAAAGTCAGAAATGGAGGTAATCGCTGATGCTGGTTCCGAAATCGTGCTCCGAGTGTCTCACTCACGTATTCAGATATGCAAATCCAGAATGCCCAGGACGAGTGCTCAGAAGCAGTTTTGAGACACTGTGGCGCTCGTGTGAAGAGATATATCACGTCGCTCAAAGAACATCTTGATTCTATTGGCATGGAATTTCTGACACGAAATCTTATGCCACACCCAGTGTACAGAACTTCCAATCCTCATCGCGAATCAAAGGAGGACGAAGGGAGACTGGGAGCATATTGTGTAGATACACACCTTGACTATATGCGACTTTCATACGAACGTTGGAAGGATATGGTTGACCTGGTATATCGAATCTGTTCTGCAGAAGATCAGCAATCAGTGCATTCTCTCGCAGGATTGACGTACCAAGTACGCCAATCTTCATCCTTTCGATACCTTCTTGAGTCCACAGTTCACAACCATTCCAACGTTGTGGCGAAAGTGGTGGAGAGAATTGGAAAGATCTCCAAATTCTATCGCAGTGCAGTCACCCTTGTTCGAGTTGCCGCCAAACATTGCCAGGACATAGACCGCTTTCGTTTCAGGACCCTTGCGTCTCAAAAGCGAGCCATCAATGTGTTATCTGTCAGTAATCTCAACAACTTGATAAGTCGCGTCCCGCCGGCTTCAAGAGGGAGACTTCAAACCCAGGCCGGAAATGCCCAGCGACTCTTGAGACGTTGGAGGCATTATGTATTGCACGCAGAAATGCAGCTGCTCCTCTTCTATGAGACGCAGCCAGAAATCCAATTAGCTGATAACTATATTGGTATCAGCAAAAGGTCTTGTTACCTTTGCGCAACATTCATTCGTTTTCACGGAAAATTCATCATGGAAGGTGTCCACCAACAACTGTATTGCCTGTGGACCATTCCTTCCACGATTGCATTTCGAGACACGATGCGAGAAAACCACTTCCTGACCGCCTTGAGCAATCTCTGTGAGAATGTAAATTCCAAGGTCAAGGCCATATCAGCTCGACATTACTCACAGTACCCTTTTCATGGGGAATCTATAGCCAATTTCTCCCGTGATAGCCTGTTGAGCACCGTGAAAACGGCCAGAACGCTGATCTCAGGCATCCCACTAGCCCCGAGCACGGTCCAGAATACGCTCGATACCTTACTTCGTAATGGACCTGCTGCGGTCGATCTGCAGCGGTCTTCACACCAAGATAACGAAGAAAGGTCTAATACCACCGCTGATGTGCCCCCATCGGAAGAGCAGACAGTCGAAACACGACCGGATAAGATTCCTTCCACAGAGACAAAGCTTAATGACGACAACGTCTTCGAAGAATACGCAGCTCGCCAGTTTGAGAAATTCCCCGGAATGCCTAACCGAGTTGAGCATTCCTTGCAAACTTCAACTTTGAGGACAGAAAACAAATCGTTCCGCTGCAGCGAATCCATGGGTGATTTGCAACTTTCTATTGATGCGGTGCAGCCATCTCAGGTCTCTGAAAGTGATTTGTCTCAGGTTATCGTTGAAAAGAGCTCGAAAGAGAACGACGGCAGCGTACACAAGCGGAAACTGAGCAACATGTGAATAAAGTCCTTTTTCGAAGCTCCCAGAGTGGTATGCACCACACAAAGAGAAGTGTAAAACCCCATAGCAAAAGATACCAAAAGACCGAACGGAGGCGCAAGTCGAAAAGGACACACCACAAGTTAAATGACAATCAACTAACCTCACCACAATCCCATAAAGAAGTTGACAGACGCGAGACAAAAATTTTGAAACCCCAAAAGGAGCGTGTCATACTACCGTACAGTAGCACAAAAAGAAGAGCCAGAGCAAACACGCAGACGACTGGGAGGAAACGTGCTTTAGAACCGTGCAGGTATGGGAAACAAAAACACAGAAGACCAAGACGAACCGTGCAGATTGAAAGGGAGGAAACCGGTTGTCTTGGTATCTTCATAGGTTTTCAGAACGCTCTGGTGGCTTTCTTTCGGGGCTTGACTGCCTGTGTCTAAGTCGATTCTTTTCTGTGTATCACTGTGCCACTGCGTCTTCTAGGGGTCGACACACATACTCGGCGAATGGGACGGGAATGTCTGTGGCATCTCCGACAGGGGTGTCCAACAGCAGAGACCAAGCTCTGTAAGGCTTACACGAACCCACCCTTTGGCCAGAGAAGTGGTATGCAGAGCAGGCCCTGTCAATGCGGCTTCCTTGTCATCAAGATGGGCATCAAATTTTGCAGATATATACGGCAGACTGTTATTGGGTTGACGACACATCAAAATTTTGAACTCCGCACCAACTTCCCAACTCCACACCAGCTCCTCAACTCTACATAATGAACTTCTTTGGCTTCACCTTTCGGCTACTAGTCCCAGATACCTATAGTTATAATATTAAGAACATTAAAACTTAAATTAGCTGCATTAGGCTAATTATTAGAGTTAGAGATTTATAAATAGTATCATTTAATAGCTTTGAAAATCTCTATTTAAATATATTTTTTATATTTTTATAATAGTAATATTTAGCTTAAAACAAAAAGAATGCATGACATGATGATCGTTGAAAGAGCTGAACGAGGCATCTTAGCTGCTGAGTAAAAACGGGAGCGGTTGCAGGACACGTGCATGGTAACCTGATCGGTGGAAGAGCTGATTGCGGCATCTCGATTACCTATCTAATATACCAAAGGGTTGAAGTGCTCCCCCGCGCTGCTTGATACGCGCTTTTCATTGGGTAAAGCCGTGAAGATACGTGCATTGGGCCGTGTCGCGTGAGTAAACCAATGAAAACATCCCGGTACTTCCACTGGGAAAGATCCAGTCCGAAAGCGGTAGCCAAGATCCTACATTGAGCCGGTTTTGTCGACCAGAGTGGTATGCATGTTTCCTCGATCCGCATCCGTCTTGCGGAAGTAGTTACGCCACCTGCTCGACACCGGTCGGATTGGCCATCGGAAGCTTTTGGGTCGGCCAGGCCAACGTCGAAGATATCTGCATACAGTCTGCTAATTACTGAAATATACATCTAACTACCAGTTCGGTTCGAAACCCAAAGGCGCTGTCCTTTCGGCGGAATGGTAGATGTATCGTTTCTTTCATACCGCATCGATCGATGGAAGAGCCGGACGAGGGGCATCTTGCGTGCTGTCTCTGATGCCGGGGTCCGCCTAGCCGGCTTCAAAATTAACCTTTTGCCTCATGAGGCAGTGTCGAGATACCTGCATGCCACCTCGGTGGATGGAAGTGCCGGATACGGCACCTGCCTTACCCAGCGTCAGTTAGTGCGGTAGAGTCAGAGCTTCTGATTAGCTAGTGTACATCTTGGTTGAAGATATCTGCATGACACGCTGGTGGATGGAAGTGGCGGATATGGCACTTGGGATGCTAGATCGGGCCTGGACTCCCGCGCGAACAGACTACGTAGGTAGGCTAGAGGCGTTGTGGGGCTGCACCCTATGGGGGTCAAAGACACGCGCATACGTCTGTTGGATGTAACTGACTAGTAACAGATTCCTCGTGGTAATTCGATTGCTACATCAGGCTTAGCGGGCTATCCTGGGTCCAGGCCGATCAAGGTACGGATTTTGCGAAAGAAAAAGTCCATTGTTTTGTTGGGTTGCGGAACTTGGACCTTTATCATGAAGCGCCATGGAGGGCGTCACTACATTGCAGCGGCCTTGGTTAATTTTATAATGATGCGTCGTTGTGGCTACCTCAACCTGCGCGGATTGAATGTGTGTTCTGCGGAAAAGCGTTTCTCATCCCCTCGAGAAATTCCGAAACCGGTGAAACAGACTCCATATGCAGCTCGGGCGTCCCTCATTGAGTGACACATAAATATTTTCCATCGTTTGTTTTCTACATAGACATCTGATCAACTCTAGCTTGCTACCATTCCTGTTAAACCCTCTCCACATTCACAGAATGCAGACCAGATCGGAAAGCCCTTCACCCAGTCACATAACGAAGACTTGCAACATAAGTGTGCTCGTATAGAGGAATTGGTTCCTTCTCTCCCCCCTTGCCTGTCTCTAATTTCACTGGAAGGAGGAAAAGTGTCGGCGGAAGGATTTGTGAAACTTGTAGCAGCTTCGTGTGAGCATTCGATAGCGTTGCATCTGTGATCGATGCCCTCTTTCTATATTGGTGCCTGTAGGCAGCCTCCACGTCGCGGGTTTCTCCTTCCTTGGAGCGGGCGGCGAGTTATCCTAGACATAATTCCAGGCTGACAATGGCTCCATCTATGGCGGTGGTCTTAGCATCTCATGTTGAGACCCCAGTCTCCTTGTCGCAAACATCCGCATCTTCCGAATGCTACCTTTATAGCGCACGAAGTGTATCCTCAAAATTAATCTTCCAGCGTACTCTGGGCTAGGTTGGAGGCAGACACCTTGGCAAGGAATACCTTTGTCGATGTTCAGAAGAGGCATTCGCACCCTTGATAAATGCTATACATGAAAGATGAGCTTGTCGTGATGAAGGGGCCGCTGGTGCATCAAGGCGTGGGCTCGATCCTAAGGATTGCTGATGTTAACCGCCTAAACTTGAGTTATTGAGCGCTGCACGATCCCGTAGCAGATTTATAGTGTATAGACCAGAGCCAAATTCTTACCGAAGAGCTGTAGGTGATAGCCGGCACAACATGATGCTCCTTCAGCTAACCTCTCCGGTCTTCCAAACCTTCTTCACAAAATCTCTAGCAATTTCGAAACTCTCTATTCTTGTCTGTCTCTCTGCCAACCCTAACCATGACACTGGCATTTGTGTCCATCCATGCTTCATTCCCTTGTATCTTTCTACTCTCAAGTGCTGACCTCTGCCGTTTTCGTGCAACTTCTTGACCCATGTCTCACTTTGTTCCGCCAGAGAGTCGAGCTCGGGTAGGATCAAAAGAATCCTGGCTTGCTCGTGCAGCCCGCCATCGATGATCTCTGCTAGTCCTGGTGAGGCTCTTGGGTGCGATGCTTCGTCTCGAGATAGGTAGGTTGGTGCAAGCGTGTCCGAGAGCTCACTCCAGAATCTTTTCGTAGCTGGAAGACCTGGTGGGCGAGTGCGCTGGGACGGTAGGAGCCGAGAATCCAAGGATGGGTAGAAGAGCAAGAGTGGGATAGGATGAGGGTGTTCACGTGAAAATGGGCTGGGCCATGGAGTGGGCACAATGGGTGGATTTCTGGCAATGTCCAGGGCGAGTTCCAATGCCAGGTTCCCGCCGCTACTAAACCCAGATAAAGCAATCTTGTCGGTATCAAGGTTTACGCTTCCTACCATAGGAGAGGGCTCTGAGCTTGAAGCAGATTCTCCCTTCCATTCTTCGCCCTGCTTGGTGTTATATGACTCAACCAGGTTCTGCGTGATTGCCTTCCTCAATTCATGATATCCAGGCTTTTCTTCGTGGAGTACAGCATGTAAGACGTCTTCGGCGTCTTCGAGGGCAGCGGGAAATTTATCGACTGGTCCGAGTCGGTAGTCGACACTCAAGACAACGGCTCCGAGCTCTCTTGACATCTGAGCGCAGAATGGTGCCTGCTCCAAACAGGAACCGAGGACGAAGCCACCACCATGAAAATCGATCATCACAGGGACCGGATCCGCTCTCTCCGTCACATCATACGTCAAGGAAGGCAAGAAGACGTAAACAGGAATTTTATAGCTTCCGCGAGACGGAAGGTTCAAAACGAAAGGGTGAGGTCCTTCTGGTGAGGTGTAGCGTAGGACTGCGTCAGGGACCGCTCGGGGAAGTCGGACCAGAGCAGTGCGCCATAGCACGTCGAATGGTTGGTTGAATGCCTTGAGGAGGGAAGACATGGTAGCAGAGCTTCATCCGAACAAGATATGGCATAGGAGTGTCACCTGAAATATGGTCTCCGGCCTGTACTGATGGGATGATGGGATGATGCTGCTCAGTTACCCGACGTTCAGCCAGATGGCTGATTACTATTAGTTACGTAGTACTCCGTAGTGGTCCACTACCCACAAACAGGCGGACTCTCTGCAAGTTGGGACAGGTAAATAACAGGTCCATTCCAGAAGCTCCTAACACTAATACAGTCCACTGGCACTCTTAAAGACCTGTACAGCACAGCAACACTGGCTGTGAAATCGTAGTAGAAATGAACCAACAGAACGCAAGGATTCCGCGTAGAAAAACCGGCCAACAGGGCGCTCTCATACGGTCTGACTTTATCAAATTCCCCTTGTTCGTATTTTCACATCCCTCGCCAGGTCAGAGGATAGAGTGATGAAATCAAGCTTTCAGCCAGCATATCTGTCTGACGATGCAGACTGCGGAGGAGTCTACTACCAATGCGACAGAGCTGGAGACGACGTCTAGATTTGATCGCTTTCGGGGAACTTCTTCGCTGTCCATTTTCAAACCCGAGATCGACTGCACGATGTCGAAGACCCAACACTTATGGAAGAGTACCGAGATCACAATGGGTCGAAACATCGCCTTATCCTGGATGCTGTGTTGGGACAGGAGGCCGGAGATGGATGCAGCGAGGCGCTGAAAGATGAGAGTCCACCCGGAGGAGAAGAAGCACCACTCCCATATGCAGAAACCAGCGATGCCGTTGAGATGGATGAGTCCAGTGCACGCTGACCAGGGTAGTTCAGATCAAGTCTGGATTGTGATAAAGTATCATTCTCGTGCATTCCTCAAGCGTGGCCACATCGTCAGAAATTGCCGATAGCTATAGATAGATACGCGTATATACCGAAAGACGTAAAACAATCAACCAACATTCATCCCATGTCAACCAACCCCACAAGAACAAACCTGCGCCATTAAAAAGCCCAGTACGAGCAGCAGGACTTTTTTTCCCAATGAGTCATCATGAAAGATGGGATCTTTCTTTCCATTCCCCCTACTACCATTTTGCCTCCTCCTCCTCCTCCTCCTCCTCCTCATCCTCCAATGTCTCTCCCCCTCAGATGGCCCTCACACACACGCCCGGGAAAACCCCCTGAAACCCAGCATACACACCAGCCCACCACTCGCCATTCACGTCCTCGGCCTCCCGGATCTCGGCCCAGCGGGGGAACATCAGCTCTCCGGCGCCGGACTCGCCTTCCTCGGGGAACCAGGGGTAGCCCGCCACCGCGCGCATGCCGTGACCGCCATCAGGCGGGAACTTGGAGTTGCCACTTCCAGTGCCGGCGCCTCCAGACGACGAAGAGGTCGAGGTGTTACTGTAGCGGATGCGACTGGCGCGACTGTCCCTCTTGGTGACGGTGCCCGTCGCGCCCTCCACATCCTCCACCCAGCTCCACTGGCCCGACTTGACCGCCGCGCTGGGCGCGTTCCCCGCCGCCGCGATATCCGCATCCCGCAGCGAATGGCCCCCCACGAGATCGTTCACGACGATTCTCTTTTGGCCCTCGGGCGCGTCTTCGAAGCCGATCACGATCATGCGATGGCCCTGGGGGCATTTGCGCCAGCCGTTGGGGCCGTCTTCGCGGCGGAGTTTGCGCTGTTTGATTAGCGATGTGTAGCATGTGGTGCAGATGTCGTAGTCGCCTATGCTGGGGAATTTGGACGGGTTGGTGGGATTGGTTGGCGAGGACGGGTGGCTGGGGCAGTGGAAGCGGGTGTGAGAGGGTGGGATCGGGTAGCTGCAGATGTCGCAGTGGGTGGTGAAGGTTAGGGTGAGGTAGTCTGGGTCTTTGGCTGTGCTGGCTGGGGTGGAGGAGTTGGATGTAGAGGGGCGGCTTTTACTGCTTGCTCTGGTGATGCTGGTACTGGTGGTGGTAGGGAGGACGTCGGCGTGGAGGGTTGAAGGCGTCAAGGTGATGACGCCTGAGTCGGGGTTTGGGCCTTGTTGTAAAGTCGGTGTTTTAGGAGCATAGGATTTGTGGGCCAGCGGAAGCAGGGGGTGAGTGCAGCAGTGGTGGCTGTTGATACAGGCGTTGCAGAAACCCCAGTCACCTTTGTTGCATGTATCGCAGGACCAGTAGCAGATGTTGGCGAAAGACTGGCAGAGGTCGCAAAATTTGCCTTCCTGGAGTCTGGAAGCCGGATCGCTGCTTAAAAGATTTTTTACAGCAGGTTTGGGAGACTTGTTCTGGACGAACTGTTCTGTATCGTCAGGTCGGAGATATTTGCGGCTCGAAAAGGCATGCGCTTGCATTTTCTCCGAGGGCGAGGTAGGTGCAGATACATTTGGAGCTGACTCTGCTATGGAGTCTGTCCTACACCCAAGAATGCTACTGGGCACGGTCCGATAGCAGCGTAAGCAAATATTCGAAGAGCATTGTGAGCAGTGCTTGTGAAGATCGTACTGTATACTTGGCCGTGAACAGTTTGCGCAAGATATGGATGGCGCGGATGGATGTGGTGCAGAGCGAGGAGGCAGATCTGGTTTCGCTCGAGGAGCTGCATGAGATGCCGTCTGTGGGGGTACAGCCGTGAATTGAGATGGATTTCCATGCGAGATCAAAGGTGAGCCAGTCGCAGCAAAGGCATCCCTTGATCTTGGACTCGTTGTTACAGTCGCTGACGTGGGGATCGTCCCTGCTTCTGATGATAGTGGACCATTGCGTTTGGAACTAGACAAGTCACTGGTTGAGGACCTAGCATTATCACCCTGAGCTACTCTCTGCCGTCTCTCGGAGACACCAGGGACATGCTCTGGTTCGGTACTTGTGCGTCTTGTATCGGATGGATGCCGTGGTCTGTTCGCGCGTGCTTCATCTGAAGCTTGGGGCCGATCGGATAAATCTGTTGCAGACCTTGTTGCGTTGCGCACAACATCTTCCGGGTTGGTCCTGTCCGATCGTGTTGTAGGAGGAGACGTTCGTCTCCGCTCGTTTTCAGACGCCCTCCGTCGCTGTGCCGTAGAAGCAAAGTCTGCATCTTGAAATCGTGCTCTTGAAGCAGGTGGCCTTCGATCCTCGGAAACGTGCACTCGTCTAGACTCGGTGGTCGATGAGCCATGAGCGCTGTGGGATCTTTGATGATGCCTCCTTTCGGCTTCTTGCTGACGCTCTCGAACTCTGGTCCTGTCAGAAATCCTTCCGCTTATCCTTCTTGTCGCATCTCTTGGCGATAGCTGTGAGGATTGATCACCACGTTGCCGTTGTCTTTGTCGGTAGGCTTCTGCGATTCGTTCACTGAGCGCATCTTCCTGTGCCGGACTGAGATTGTGAAGATCAAATCCTTCCAGTAATCCATCGTCGATGATTTGCTGTAGTATCTGCTCTGCTTCCAAGCTATCGCCAGTACCCGCTCCACTTTCGGAAGAACTCATCAGCGAACGCAAGCTGGTCTGTGGCACGATCCGACGCTCCCGATGTCTCGCCTCCACCGCTGCAGGATGCCTTGGCGAAGTCGTTGGCGGAGATAGCCTGGCAGCTGCGAGATTCTCTGTTGTCAAGTCTGCAACAGGCGCAGTGGCTGCGGTAGATGAAGTAGCTTCTCGTTCTCGTAGTTGCGCTTCAGCAGCCTCAGCCCTCCTCCTTCTCTCCCGGCGTTCTTCCCTCCTCTCATCGTCCCGCCTTCTCTGCTCTCTGCTTTCTCGGCTGCGACTCCGGCTGCTCGTACCCTCCGAGGCTGGTGCGGCCAGACGTGTGCCGAGTTGTGCTGCAGTGCCTCTTGTTTCTCTAATACTACGTTCCCTTGCCTCCTCTAGCTGTCTCCTCTCGGCCTCTTCCTCGGCCCGATCTTCCACTTCCCGCCTCCTGCTCCTTCTCCCTCCCCCGTGCTCAACCTTGGGCAAAATGTTCTCGCCTGGCTCGTAACTCTTTGCTATATCCGCCTTGTCGGCTTCACTCTTTCTGCGTTCTGGATTCGCAGCTAGGAACATTTCTAACAAAGTGGTGACGGTCGCATTGTGGCGCGCATCCTTGACGGGGGCGCGACATGTCGGACAGGTATACGTGTTGGAGCGGGAAGATGAGGACGAGGACGAGGACGAGCGGACCTTATTGTATTCGAAGGTGAACCATTCTTTCAGACATGAGCCGCAAAACGTGTGGAGGCAGTCGATAAGGGTGAGAGGCTGATAGAGCGTTTCCGTACAGATCTGCGAAGAGTCAGATCGTTTAGCAGCACGGGGATACTACTTCTGCGCAATGCTTACAGAGCATATGAGTTCTCTTTCGAGGTCGAGTAAGCCTGGTTGAGGGCTGGTACTAGCCGCTGCCAGTGGAACAGACATGACATCAACTAATTTACCAACTGGATGGCCTATGTAGTAGACACAAGACAATAAATATACGTAGCCATTTACCGTGACCACCCCACGATGATATTGCGCATAGATGCGAGTAATAGAGGACTTGCAATGCGTTGAGGATGCAACACAAGACGAAGTAAGCCATACATGCGGCTGACTAAACACGATAGCACAGTAAGTAACTTACCAAGAACCTTCTCCAGCCATCTTCCTCAGCTTGACACCTTGATTTTTCTCCATCCTCACCGCCATGTCTCTTTTAGTGCACCATGTCACCCTTAGGGCTCGCCTAGTATCGTTCTGAAGGCGTTTCTCTCTTCTAGCAGAAGTCAAGTCGTTTCCTTGGCTACCAAGAGAGGAAGTGCCCTGATATGGGTCATGTCCAATCCCCCCTTTCAGCGCAAGACATGGACATGGACATCGATGTTGACAATGTACGAGTACTGCATACAGCCCCATCTAGATCCCTAAGCCGGTATTCCTTGGATCCGATTACTCAATACAGTCATTGTTATGGTATTTCCTATGGCAACTTTTCGATGGAATTCCTCCACTCTCAGGATGTGCCTATCTATTTCTCATGTTTTTTTTTTGGCAATATCCACTAAGAAACTGCCAGATAACAGACTTACCTTGATCGTCAACTTTTCAATCCTCGCATACGGATAGATATTTTGCAATGTGGATGTTTTGGTCGGTTATTGTGCATGCCAACCTTTACAATCAGCCAGCTCGGGTTCATGTTCGAGGTACAATTCGTGTTATCCAAAGGCACAAGATCTCGCATTCAACAGTTCTACAGTAGTGCAAAATTGCTGAAAAAGCGATGTCCGAGGGCTTCGGGCAATTCACTTCGTTCTTGTTGATATGTCCTGGCCCCGATATTGCTTACCAGCCCATCTTCTATTGTTTCAACCTCATATAACCTCGTATAACCTCAAGCGGTACACGATCTCCTCTGTTCGGCAGGCTAGCTACCTTTGTTTTGTTCTGTCTATCCGCATTCACTACTGCGTGGAAGAATGTCTCACGAATATTTTCCAAGGTTCTGTATCTTGTCCACTTTCTGCATATTTGCGCATTTCATACCAAGATTTGACATACACAATCATGCACAGGCGAGTTGATGATCGTTCGGCCCACAAGCTTCTTATCATGTGAGTGCAAAGAAGGATTCAAATTGAACCCATTCCGGACGGTGATGCTGTTCCACCGCTGACACATTCTATCATGATTTTAATTCCCTTACCGAGCTTCTATGCGATATGCAAAGCCACGATAGCTGCTCGATTGCAATATTTTTACAACCGCAGGAAAGGATGTTGCTAGGCGTAGAGGTCAAGCGCTCGACCGGGTTAAAAGGACATTCACATCTTTCATTCCATTTCGTTTTCATTAAAGCTCTTAGCCATCCTCTCTGAGGTGTGGGGAAATCTTTGACATTTTATGCGTCCCCGGAGCTGAAAGGCTTCAATGCCCTGTTATAGTCGCAGTCGTGAGCCGTGAGGAGCACCTGGAGCAGGCAAGATGGCATCACACTCACGTCTTGCAACTCCATCTCACAATCGTTGCCTTTTTTGCTCATCTCGGGCCAGCAGAAACATCTTCCCAGACTCCTTCATGTTGATACAGATACTAGCTAGACTTTGGCACTATCTCATTCTCCTACATTCCTCTAATCTAAACATTCACAGCAGCACATTATCTTCCATTTATTCTACCACAACCTCTCCTGTCTATTGATCGGCACTGGTATCCAGTATCCAAAGACTTGGATCTCACAAGTCAGCTCTTCTTCCCTTCACTGTTGCCGTCAAGATCTCCATCACCTCCTTCGTATCCATCTCCGTCAACTTCTCATCTGTCATTATCCGATTGACAGCCTCTTCAAAATATCGATTACTTCTTAACTTCTATTCGTCAGCATCAACACTACCATCTCCTACCCGGAAGCAAGGGAAAAATCTTCCAATTGGCATCATAAGTATCGCATTAAACTCTCATCCCCATCTCCACAGCCCAATTGGATCTACTCCCCCAGCCCTACCGTCTTGAGTTCTGTGAGCCTATCCATCGACGTTGATCAACCATTAGCCAATCACGACTAAGACGTTCAATACTCTCCTTAGCTGTGACTTACATTTGACCTCATAACCACCGCTCTGCAGTCCAGTCCACTCAGCCGTTTGTGGGAATACTCGACTTTGAATTTGGCTCAGTTTGACATCCACCACTTACCATCCATCCCATACCCAGTCTTAACTGACTCTTCCCTCTCTCAACCCATTACCATTCTACATCATTTTCATTGTCCGGTTCCGCACGACCGAAGCAGCTTCACGACAGGACACTGGTGGAAATGTCCTATTCTCAATCAGCACTCGAGGCGCCAATGCTCGGTACCAGTGAAACTTCAACGCCTTCAGCAGCAGCAGCAGCAGCAGCAACAACAACCTCCAGACCCTCATCTACCGCATCAATGGGTAACAGCAACAGAACCTCAACACCCTCCACCACCAATGGCCTCCCAGCCCCCCAATCACAGCGTCAATCCAAACATACAGGACTTCCAATTGGATCATCCTCAACGCATGAGCATCACCCATCTCACCTGATGGCTAATGGAGCCGACATAGCCGCAACCACAACGGCATCAAGTACAACGACTGCAAATATGGGCCAATTCGAGATTATAGATCTCTGCTCTGACTCGGACGGTGAAGACGCGAAGGTCCCCCCCAAGAAGAAAGCAAAGCTTGACGATGGCATAGCCGCCCCACAACGCGATTATGGTATGGAGAAGTCTTGGATAGGGGGTATCAGTAACAGAACGGGTACGGGTACAGGGGAAGAAGTGGTATGCGGTGTGACGTGGAAGAGAAGTGTTGATATGGCAGAGGGCGAGGAAGATGCCAAAGACGAGCGGCCCGACCATGCGCCATCGACAGCGCCGGGAGAGATGCCTCCGGAGAACAGAAAAGGACATCTGATCCATAACAACAATCCTACCGGACCGGCTGCAGCAGCAACCTCAAACAACGAGATCATCATCGAAATCAAGCATCCCAACCCCTTCGCAGTTGCAACGCAACGCGTGCCCAAGTCATCTGACACCATCAACCCTGTGGTCACACGAACCGAGACTGTTCAGACGCAAACCGGGATGAAGAAGAGGAAGATGGTTGGGCCGTTCGTCCTCGAAGATGCCGATGATGGCGACGGTGATGGTGATGCCACCATGCGCTCGCCGGGGGATGAAGGATACGGCAGCTTCTGTAGCGGGGCTGTGAAGCCTGATAGCCACGATGGGGGCAACATATTAAGTTCCGGTTCCGGTTCCAGCCACAGCCCACCAGATGCCATGGATGGATTTGCCAGGCAGTCAAAGGTAGGTGGTGGGATGGAGCTGTTCCAGCGACGGAGGCAATTAGAGGACAAGTGCGCGGAGACGAGTCGGAGGATGAGGGAGGAGGCGCTTAAGAAGAGGAACGCAGAAATGCAGGAAGCTCAGAAGAGTGGTCTGTCGCAAGGCTTTCTTGAGGATTCATTGAACGTGAGACCAAATGCAGAGTCATATCAGTCAGACATACAGATTGGAAAGGAGACGAACTCCACCTCTCAAGGAACGTGTTCAGCGCACGAGCGCCAAAGCAACCAAGACGAGTTTGACGACGATGATGACGACTTCTTCGCCGATGACACTTTCTCTTCGGAGAACATCGAAGCGCAACTCGACCTCGCCCAAGCATTCGCCAACAACAACGGCAATCTTCCATCCCCCAAGGATCTGACAAGGTCATACCGGCCCTCCACACTCGTGTCTAGCACGGAGAAAGCTGACCGTGCTGCTGAAGCAGACTCATCGCCCAGCAACGCACGAGATCCTCCGCTGCAAGATTCCACCCAGCATCCCGAGAGGCAGCTGTTCAATGGCGGAGCAGGCAAAACAGCCACATCTGGAATTGAGCATTATTCTCAGGAGCAGGCTGAGAAGTATTGGGGAAGGGTGAACAAGGAGGAGAGGAGGAAGGAGAAGGAGAAATGGCCTGAGAAGATGGAGATGGGAAGAGGTCATGAGGAGGTGGTGGCGTCACCTTGCACTGCTACGAAAGTGATTGGGGGTGCTCCAGGGAAGGACGAGGCTCGTCTTCTGGCTGCGAAGGAGTCTCTCACAACCACGAAGCAGCCGCTGAGAGCTGCTCCGAATGTCAGCGGGGTGCTCGCTCAATTAGCGAAAAATACTCGGGGGACAAATGAAACAGTCGGGGAGCTTGCCGATCCTGGAGAGTTCCATCAAGGGCGAGGAAATGCTCGGCATCCCAGTCCAACTGCTCATGCCCGACAACGCAACCATCTCACCATCGACGAGGAGGTCTGGACGAAAGATGGTACTCTCAGAGAACGGAAGAGGGACATCGAGAATCTAATGAGTTCCTTCACGGAGATTGCCAGGTGCTGGTGCCTTGTCTTTTACACACTGAGCCCCCACTTCCAAGAGAGTATGAAATCACAGGTCCATGAACTGAAGCGCTATGCTGGTCCAATACTGCGTGGCTACACGTTCAGAAAGAATTCCGGAAGAAGAATCACCGAGATCAGAAAGAACGTGGAGCGTCGTATGGGGAAGGAGAGGGAAGCTGGCCGCCTGATTGGCAATGTTACTCAACGCGAGATCGATTCAAAGCTGGTCGAGTTAATGGGGCGGGAGCATTTCCACCATGGACAAAGCTTACTCAACAAGGTCCGCGAAGAGTGGGAGGATCACAAGGTCAACCGAAAACATACGGGCCATCGCAAGCGTCCCAACTCCCAGTCTAACAGTAATGCTTCAGCCAGGTCGAAGCCCATGGTAGTATCGAATATGCCGTATACAGGAATGGATGCAAGCCGTACAGGATCAGAAGAATCCGACCCGTACGAAGGATTCAATCTCAATCCCAAGAAGCGAATTGCCTGGCAGAGAGAAGACGAGAGACACAAACGAATGGAGGAAGCACTTGCGAGATATGAGAAAGTAGCTGAGCCTGACGGGCGAACCGAAAATTCGAAAAGAGTCCGTTTTGCTGAACAGTCCGTATGGGACAACGAATACGATCATACTCAGTCTTCCGAATCGGAGGAGAGTGATGAAGATGAAGATGGGACGGCGCCCTCATTCGGCAGAGGAGAAGATCGTAGGCCGGAAATTGAGCCGAGAGTAGGAAATGCAGAGCCCGTCAGAAGGAATACTGGTGCAAAAGGTCTCTTCTCTCAGCCGCAGAGTGTTGATGAAAAAGTAACAAGATCGAGCCAACACACGCCAAGCCGAGCGACGGCCAGAAAGAGCCTTCCTGCCCAAAGTGGAAACATGAAATTTACGGGAGAACAGCAGAGTCCTGAGCCAGCAACCAAAAGGGAAGTAGGAGGGAAGTCAGTAGCAAGTTTCAATCAGTGGGGACCGCAGGAGACTATGTTGACCAATGTCAATTGCTCGGATATCGAAGAAAGTCCACAAGACGCAGATGAGGTTCAATCCGAGACAGAAGGTTCATATACCGACGACGGTGACATGGCTGACTTGCACAATGACGTTTATGGCACTCAATACGATATTGTGGCCGATTATGAAGACTTCGACGGCTATGAGGATGCCCACTCGGTGCCGCTAGGCAAACATATCGATCCCCGAGCAGCCCACAGACAGATGACAAGGGTGATGTTGAATACCGTTGAAGATGCATTGCACAGAGTAAGAGGCACAGGCAGAATAATCTGGGACATCGAGAATTCTGAAGTTATGGTGCATAGCATTATTCTACCCACTGGCGGCGAATGTCGGATTCGGAAGGTGAAGTCATGGGTCTCAGCAGCGAATTGGCCAGGGAAATATCGAGCCAGAGCGGTGCCCGTCCCGCAGGTGTACTATATCGTGCATGAGACGAAGAAGACTTCGCTGAGGCCGCCCCCGCCTAACGGAGAAGAGATCCAAGATGAGGAGCTTTTCGGGCCAGAGGATTTCGAAGACCCGCAGGCACTAGTCGAAAAAGAGCAACCGATGGGGTTTACGAACAGAGAGAGCGCTAATAGTTCTGCATTGGAACGCCTGATCGTATTCGACAAGAGGCACAATGGTGCAGAGGGAGCGGAAGATGCGAAGGATATCCTGGAAACAGAAAATACGACAGATATGGCAGAATACATGGAGCAAATCGAGCATGACAAACTGTGCTTTGAACGAGAAAGAAGGGTCTGGATAGAGACTGAGGACGGGAGAAAAGGAAAGGAAGAGATCAAAGTTTGGGTGGAGGAAATGTTTGTAGATATGCACCACGTCTAACAGCAGTATTAGATATCTTTTGCGATTGAATAGAAGATATCATCTTCAGTGAGGTCGAAGCAAGTAGGTTTGAGACTTGCAAGAAGCAGACCACATATGGTTGACAAAGTCGACAAGTCGAAACAACAGAGACACAGGAGGACTGCTCGGCCTTGAATTCGTAGGCCACGAACCGCTCTGGCTTCTAGAACTCGGAAACTAAGTTAGTGATAAGGAGGTCTGGAGGTCGTTGAAGGCCCCTCTGAATGAAGCTAAGCTCTCCTCTTTCTGCCTTTGCAGCATGTAGCTGGCATGAAGCTGAGGCCCATTGACGTGTCAAGATAAGTCAATCAAGCTTCTACTGAACATAGTTGGACTGGTAAAGGAGCTCTGGGGGTCCGTCAAGGTTTTCTTCAGGGTCGGTAGACACTTCTACCGGCAATTCCTGGTGGAGTGGCCCACAGAATATTCGATCATCGCCGGAGAACGCTGTCACTTTCAGTTCTAGACCTGATTAATCTCCGCAATCGGAGAAACAGTTCCTGGATGGGGATCAGGGCCAAAGTCGTCGTCGTCAGGGTCCAGCCGATGCATGATAGTGCCAGAGACCGAGGGTTGCATGGTCGCAGTAGTTGGTCTCCACTTGCACAATTGTGTACCCTTGGATTATGCTACCGCTGAGATCTTCCAGAACAATAGGTTGCCAAATCTGCCAGCTCCGAAATGTTGGGGAATGAGGTAGGGATAGCACCCATCCAAGATCTCTATGAGAGAACCACGGTCGGGAACATGTTGGGATTGCATGTTATCGACGATGCCGTGCAAGCCAGCGCGTACATGAGCGAGGAGTCATTCAGTTCTGTGTTGCGCTTGGTTTATTGGAGGTATGAAGAGAGATGAGGCCCCCATTTTCACATGTCAGCCGAAAGCAATGGTGGACATCTCCACTCTTTATACTACTTGTACATCTACCCGAGCAGAGTTCACCGGATACGTAGATTCTGCGGTCTTTGTAGATTTCATAGACAAGCCGCTCTCGAACGATTTTGTTCTGGCTCACAAGCAAGCGCAAGAAGCTGAGCATCGCTCCACTCCGAAACGAGTGAGTTATGAACGGTCTTTGTCTATTATTCGCAAACCAGATGTCAAACTAATCCAGAGAGCGGAGCCATGTTGTGCGACGTGCGTTGACGCCATGCTTAGCGCCACGGGATCGAGTATTGAGGGGTTCAAGATTGCGAATCTTGACTCGCCCAACTGCATCGACCTTGCTAGGGCATGCAGATGGGTTTGTTGAGAACCTAAATATGCAGTCCCAGAAACCGAAAACCCTTAGCTGGCGGACGCGATTCTGAGAAACCTGATGTGGCAATGGCAAATCCCGTGCATGGTGTTATCTGCTCTAACTAGGTAAATGGTAAACCCTTTCTTGCCACGATAACTCCGTCTTTTAAGTTTCGCGACGACCTTTTGAGCGAGGGTAACATCACTAAAGCTCCCTGAGAGTCATCTGAAGACATGACTCGCGTAGGGGCATAGTGATTACAGCGTTCCATGCGAAGACATGGTTGTGCCGCAGGATTCCGCAGGGTATCAGTTGTTGATACGACACGCCCTTGTGGTGGGACGAGCATTGAATAATGGAAGGATGTCGTCCAGACAGAGTTCTTCCAAGAGAAGAGAATATACCCTTCACGCAGAGTAGAACACCGCCGGAAAGCTCCTACAGTATGCTACTGAGTTCTGTCTCCATAGATGCCCAGAATGTAGCTTTTGTTCTGTGACTGGGAAAGGAGTCCTGGCAGGACTTGTAATTCTTTCCAATGAAAAATGCTTACCAGCATTAAGGCTTATCTCGTTAATGGGATACACGAGGCACGCATATCAGTTACAGGTAGGCAAGATTAAAAATGAGATATTTTTTGACGTCCATGCAGGGCAGTAAGACTGTCATTCGAGTAACCTCATCGACCAGACTGTCTGCGTGCTGTCACTCCGAGGAGTCTCCGATATAAACCCACAGACGCTGAATGGCCGGTCGGGGATTGGTAGCCATCGGCTTATCGCGAGGATGATCAACACCGCAGGGTCAACTGGAAGCTGGCTGCTGGTGAGACGCAATCACACCACCCACACACAGGGTCCTTATCATTGTGGCGAGAAAGGAGAAATTTTAAAGTTTGAGACCACTAGTGGTTCTTGGCACAAACCCCCCCACGCGCCTGCGACACAAACCGTTGAGGAGTTCGCATCCAGCCCCAAAGTGATATGATAGGCTCAAGGTCTATACCGCCTCGATGGAGAAGCACCACGGTTACCTGCACACTATTAATGACGCTTACGTAGTGCTACGTGCAGTCGAAGATCTCGAGCATGTGGACATCAATTGATCTCAAGCAGATGGCTCGCACCCTTCACCATCAAAAATGGGCCGCATTAGGACCAATTGATGTTGCAACCCGACTTTTCCGATGATCTGTTGCATAAGAGTATTGACAGCTGCAGGACCTTCATGTGGCTATGCACTTGGCACGCAAAGGCTTTCTCAATTACGGAAAATAGCGATGGACAACTGACGAGGCCTGGAGGAAAGTTCCGTGGAGATAGTGTAAGATTTTACTCCAGGAATGGACCTGGTGAATAACTTGGCTGTTCGCAGAATAACCAGGTTCTGCTATCACGTTTCTGATAGAAGCAGAGACAGTCCGTTGCACGTCAGGCAACTTAGGTCGACCTGAAGGCCTGGGCAGGCAGTTTGGATGCAACGCTGGGTCCCACTCGGTAAACGAAAAACCTGTGTGCATAACAATGGAAAAGGTGCGTGTGTGTACTGGCAATCATTACGTCGGAGGAAGTACGGAGTACATCTCCATGAAATTGGGTGAATTGATTAAGTGGCTCGAGCGCCTAGCTGCAGGCCAGGGTCAACTAACATTGGTTGACAGCTTCAAATCTAGAAGTAGTGACACGAGCGACTTAGCGGCATGTTGCAGAAAGTACCGTAGTAACATTTTCTTTCGGGTTTCAAAAGATCACCCCAGGCTGTATCTTGTAGCTAGTCGTGTGGTTAGTACGGAGAACCTAGGCTCTATTTCCAGGCTGTGTGGGACAAGACACTGCTCCGAAGCCGATTTATTGCTAGGCTTCATCCCCTGAGATGTTACAGAGTGACAGGCGGGCAGCGCGGCTGGGGTATCCAGAATTAGGTCAGCGTTTGAGGTGGTCAGAGCCCGGGCCACCCCAACAGAGGCGGCAAAACTCTAGCCTCATCAGTTACACGCTATGACCAAGAACCAAGGACAATGATGATGTGCTCGTACAGGGCCGCATGCGGCTGTGACCACACTGCTTTTAACCTGAAACACTTCATATTGACGGTTTGCAGCGACGCACAGGCGTGGCATTTTATCCCTCTGTGCTTTACATGAGAATAGACAAAGATCATGGAGAACATTGTAGGCGAAATTTAGTTGGGAGAATTTGGCCGCAAAGGAATAAAGGATGAATAAAGGATGGTTTTGGCGGTATTTGTGGTGCTGGTGCTGGTGTGCCAGGAATTTTTGCCCAGCAACGGCTCCCATGTCCGCAAGCGTCTCCATGTTCCTTGATTCGAGGCTGCGGCCAGTCAGATCGCCGGCAGCAACTCGCAGAAACTGTGTCGACATGGTTCAGGTGTAGCGTCTCGTCATCTTAACACCCTCCCCAACTAATTATTTCTACGCACCGCCTTTCAAGTTAATTCGGCTTTGACTCGCTTGGTTTCCTTAGTCACTAATCCGAGCTTCCTTCCTCGTTGGGTCCCATAGGGCCACCACGCTCAAACTCATTTTTCCGCCTGGTTGACTCTTCCTCACCATCAATACGGGATTCCTCTCTTCACTCTCTTCACTCTCATCCCCCTCATATCCTCCTTACTTCCTCTCTTCTCGGCCATCGCCAGCCTGCTCTCTGCCAATATCGTACCCGGGAACGGTCTTGGGACTGAAAAGGACTAATACCTGCGAGTGGCCATACTCGCCCCCACCACGAAACAAAAGCTCGAGGTGCAGGTTGAAATTCGAGCCATCTGATTCAACTCGCCCTCAACCTTCCTACGACCTCCCCAAAATCCCTCTAAATACTCTCACTCGAGCAATTGAGCATTTCCGGACGGTAGACCTCGTAGGCCCCGTGGATCGGCTCTTGCTTCCTTCCTCCAACAACCAACAATTATCCGCAGCCTCCATCACGACTCCTGAAGCAGTTTCCACTTGAAACTCTACGTGTGACGACTTTTATTCTTCAACCCCCTGTTTATATGTGAGTTACAGACTTTATTCACAACCCCGTGATCGTCTTCAAATCACTCGGGTTCGCACTATGACGAATAAGTCGCCTGGCTGCTCCAATCCAACGTTCAGCCTGAACACTACTGTTCCCTACCCATTATTCTTCTAGCATACACCGTTTCTCCATCACTTGTTTCTATTTGCTTGTATCATGGTGGCTAATCATTCGGTCTCCGCATGCAGTCTTTTACTTTATATGCTCGCTGAACGCAGACAACCCCATGCTTCATGAGCCCGACCAGCCTCTCTCACCTCCGATAGCATTACCCGTTTTCGGACAGTGAGATCATCATTGCAGAGATGCCTTACACTCCCCCAGCTCAACAGTCCCCGGGTGCCTCTAATCCCTCCAGTCCTCCTCTGAGTCGGTCACACTCATATCTCTCGAACCACGTGCAAAGTCCACAATATCCTTCTGCTAACAGACCTGGCTTGCTACCGCGCTCAATATCCTCATCCGCTTATCTGACCATGCATCGCCGGAGTCCCTCAGCATCAAAGCCTGCTCATAGTATCCCATCAGCTGAGCAGTCGTTAATCACAAACGGTGATGCGGCGGGAAACTCCCCTGGTGAGCTTAGCAGGTTTGATCCTTATGGTAGCCTACGCCAAGCACCTCCTCCTATAAATACCTCGTTAATACCCACAGGAGCGTTGATGTCCCCTCCCGAATCATTACAAAATTCGAGCGATGAAGAAGATGGCGGCCAAGATAGAGGACGCGAGCTTGAAAACCTTGCGGAGTTACAGGCCGCTATAAGGATAATTGAACAGAGGAAAGAGGGTTCGCCCGATGGAAAGGAAGATGATTCAAAGAAAGCCAGGATGACGCTAGATCTTATTATACCAGACTCGGAGAAATCAGGACAGCAGAAACGCAGCTCCTCAGAGTCTCAGCGCCCGCCTTTATCGAAAGAAGCACGCAAGATATCTCATTCAAGGTCATCAACCGATTCCAACATCGTCTTCGATGCGTCACACCAAACACAGTCCGCCATGATCATGCAGTACAGCAGACCAGAATCAGATGAGGACGACGAAGACAGCGACGAGACAGGCAGGCGGTCCAAGCCTCCTATGGTGCGCAAAAAATCGGGCGAGCTGGTCAGGCCTGCACTGAGACCTGCATCTGCCAAAAGGCGCCCTTCGAGTATGCCAGGTACTCCCACATACTCGAAAGCAGTTCACTTCGACGCGCACCTTGAGCACGTTAGACATTTCTTACAGGTTGACAAGCCGCTAGCTGTGAGCGCTGGGTCTTCGCCAGTCGAAACTTACGAAAGTGAGATTGAGTTCCCATTTGGTAGTGAGGAGTCTGGTCGATCACGAGGTCCCTCTGATGAATGGGAAATACGGCTGTCGAATTTTCCGGCCGAATCTGAGGAGCGTAAACATCTACCTGTGCGTGTTGAGAGAATCTTTCTATCGTTGGATAACAAAAACCTTATCGGCGTCGTTGCCGTCCAAAACTTGGCATTCCACAAACGGGTTACAGCTCGATTCACGTTTGACTACTGGAAGACAACATCAGAGGTCACTGCTGACTACAACAATGACGTTCGCCGCAAGCAAGTCAATGACGGGTGTGATCGCTTCAATTTCACAATCAAGCTGACCGATCAAGCCAACCTTGAAAACAAGACCATGTTTTTCTGCATCCGGTATGATGTCAATGGTCAACAATATTGGGACAACAACGGATCAATCAATTACCAGGTCGAATTTTCCAAAAGAGCCAAAAATCATGGCCAGAATGGCGTGCCTGGACTCGGGGCTCGACCACTCAATGCACTACCCCGAAGCAGGCCGTCCCTTCCAATGTCTGCAGGTAGTCCTCGACCACGGTCTATGCCTCATTCCTTTGACGACTTTGCATCTGGCTTTAATTTCAATCAATCGCCAACAGCAATGATTGGCGATTCTTCTATCAAATTAAAGGGCCCTCGTTCTCGTGCTGAGATCGTTCCTGATGCGCCAACACGCCGGCCAAAGGCTAATGGGCAGGCTTTTGGGAATCGATACGATTTTGGGGCTTCTTTAAATGCTGCAATTCAGAATGCATCTGCTCTCCTTGGCGATCAGAGCGGTTTTGCCAAAAATCCTGCCACCGAACAATCTAGACCTGAGGTTTCTGAGTCAAAGTCAAAGCGTAGCGGCACAGCACAGCAACAGCCCCCAAGCATCGTTGTCAAACAGCCAACCGGAGGGATGGCGACCAATACTTCTGTCAACGGGCTGGGTCCTGCAAAGCCCGCTGCCCTTGTTTCAGAGAAGCCATCTTTACAATCACAGTCGTACCAAGAACTCGTGGACAAGTACTGCTTTGTAGGTTCCCGGTACAAATCGGCGGCTGAAGCCTGATCCTGCGTTGATTGCTAACGCCAGTGCAGTTTGGATCAGCCAAAACCTCGCCGCAGCTGACTCGATCAACGCTGGGCCGGGTAGATGGCCCGAAAGATGACGATACTGGTTCGATCTCCGATGTCAGCGTTAGCAGTGGCTCATGCAGCCCTACAGACAATACTTATTCACGTTATGGCGCTCAAGAGCTTCCCCAACGATCCATCAGCCCTTCCCTATCCCGTTCATCGTCTCCAATTCCTAAGACCGGCTCTGCGTTTGGCGAACGTACCGCTTCACCGGTTTCATTCGGCTATCCATACCATCAGTCCATGAACCAAGGTCTTTTTGACACACCTACCGCCACAGCTATCCAGAGCTAGATCAGGCGAACCACTTATTTTTACGATTCACTTCATGCATATATTCGATTGGTATGGAAAGCAGGCTCGTGTTTTACCGTTTGAACAAAGAGAGCACTCGAAGGAAGACTTTATCGGACTGATCATCCGTGCGAACGCTTCCTGTTCATGAAGCTGGCCGTTCGTCCCATGCATTGCCACCGGTGTTTGCGCATTCAAGAATTCTGTTTTGCTGCATCTGGCTTGGAGGCGTTCTTGTTGATACGCAGCGTTTTCACGGTCTTCCAATCATTAATTGATCATCACTTTGGTCGCGCACCTGCTTTTGGCACTTGTCGCACGGTTTAGACTCGAATGGGGAGGACAAAAGTTTTTGTATTGGATTTTGTGTTGCTGTGGTTCGTTAGATTTGCAAAGTGGCTAGCAGGAGCCGGGTTACGGAGGCTTGGGCCCAATGAGTGCAATGCCAGGTGTTAGCAATAACAAGAACTGGAGGGAGAAATCCCGACCGTACATAGTCTGTTCGACAATCATATCATTCCTACATTCCTACTGCTATTGTTCCTTGGCGGTGTCAGTGAACATTAGGATGCACCATCAAGAAGCAAAATCAGAGGCTCAATCAGCTTGTTGGTGTTCTGTAGGAGACCACTACCACCTATGTGCCTGTTATTTGCGAACAGCAGATGATAGTCTCCTTTGACGCCATTATTACGGTGGTAAGGGAGCAGGGACTCTCTTGGAGGGGCGCTCTAGACTAGACTACTAGCAGCCTAGCCTATGTTACATGACAGTCACGCTAAGTAACCACTTTACGCGAGACGCGTCTCCTTTCTTATCTTGCAAAAGCATCTGACCTTGTCGAGTGCATTTTCCGCAATAAAGTTTGGAACAGCGATGTCGTCTCCTGCTTCTTCTCGAAAGCGTGGTCAATCGTCCCGCAACTCGGTGTCATCTACTCCTGCTCGACCGACAAGCACGCCCAAGAGATCGCGACAGCACACCGGTTCAGCAAATCCAACCCCTTCACCACTTTTCGTGCAATCGTCGCCATCAAATGGCCAGCGACAGAATGCCCGGGCTATGTCATCCAATGTGAACGTTAGCTCTCCTGTCCGCTTTTCCTCTGATGCTGGAGATGGGGAGACTACTCCCAGAGCAAACAGAGCCGCTGTTGGAGGTGAGACATGCTCATAAATCGCATGCCATTCCTAGCTGACCTGGAAGATTCGTCACCTATTCGCTACGTTTCCAGCTCTAGTCCACCTCGAAATGGCAACAATATTCGTTCGGACCTACCCAGCAGTAGCAGTGGCCTGTTTGTGCGCTCAGATCAGACGACCGACTCTTCTGGGATCCCTCGTATATCGTCACGCCGCGGTGACATACATTCTGATGCATTTGCATCCACACCTGCTCGTCGCAGACGCATCTTCGTCGGTGAAGATGGCATGCCTGTGGCCGACAGCGGTGATCCACGATCAGAAGCTACCTTCTCAAACCTCAACCCTGATACATCGGAAGCAGATGCATTGGGCGGAGAGTCTACTCGTGTGATCTGGGGCACCAATATTTCTATCCAGGACTCGATGTCGTCGTTCAAGAACTTCTTGTGCAATTACGCCAAAAAGTATCGCATGTGGACCGATGGTGCCAGTGAAGCAGAAACCAATGCTATGGGCCCCGTGGCCGACGAAAAGGAGTATATTCGTATGCTGAATGAGATGCGTCTACTTGGAGTCTGTGGGTTGAATCTCGACGTCAAAAATCTCCGGGCATATCCGCCCACCTTGAAATTGTTCCACCAGCTACAAGCATATCCCCAGGAAATCATTCCCTTGATGGATCAGACAATCAAGGATGTCATGCTTGAGCTGGCCGTCAAAGAGAAGCAGGATATGCGACGAGAAGTCGCTGCAGCAAGAGTTAGGATCCCCAGAGCGAGGGATGGGAGCTCTCTTGCACCTTTGCCCAGCTCAGATCTGGGATTACCAGCCGGAGCTCCATCCGCTCCAAACACTGATGGGCCGGACCCAGTCGAGGATGTTGAGATGAGAACTTACAAAGTCCTTCCCTTTGGTCTTGATAAGTGTGTCAATATGCGAGACCTTGACCCGTCTGATATGGACAAGCTCATTTCCGTCAAAGGTCTTGTCATTCGGGCTACCGCCATCATTCCTGACATGAAAGAAGCATTCTTCCGCTGTGCCGTGTGCAACCATACAGTCTTCGTCTCGATTGATCGTGGCAAAATCGCCGAGCCCACAATCTGTCCGCGAGAAGCCTGCAAATCGAGAGATAGCATGCAAATTCAGCACAATCGCTGCGCTTTCGCCGACAAGCAGGTCATCAAGCTGCAGGAGACTCCGGATTCGGTCCCGGACGGGCAGACTCCTCACTCGGTCAGTTTATGTGCTTATGACGAATTGGTGGATGTCTGCAAAGCCGGTGATCGGATTGAGGTGACGGGTATCTTCCGATGCAATCCAGTGCGAATCAACCCACGACAGCGAACCATCAAATCCCTTTTCAAGACGTATGTGGATGTCCTGCACATACAGAAAGTTGACAAGCGCAAGCTGGGCATAGATGTCAGTACAGTTGAGCAAGAGTTGTCGGAGCAAGTCGCTGGCGACGTGGAAGCAGCTCGTAAGGTCTCCGCCGAGGAAGAAGCAAAGATCAAAGAAACCGCAGCGCGAGCGGACGTGTATGAGCTGTTGGCTCGGTCACTTGCACCATCAATCTACGAGATGGATGATGTCAAAAAAGGAATCCTGCTGCAACTCTTTGGGGGGACGAACAAATCATTTGAGAAGGGTGGAAGTCCAAAGTATCGAGGAGACATCAATGTGTTATTATGTGGTGATCCGTCAACCTCGAAGTCTCAGCTGTTGCAGTACGTCCACAAAATTGCTCCGAGAGGCGTTTACACGTCTGGCAAGGGCAGTTCCGCTGTCGGCTTAACAGCGTACGTGACGCGGGACCCTGAATCTCGACAGCTTGTCCTGGAATCGGGAGCGCTTGTTCTGTCCGATGGTGGCGTCTGCTGCATCGATGAATTTGACAAGATGAACGATTCTACCCGCAGCGTGTTACATGAAGTGATGGAGCAACAGACCGTGTCGATCGCAAAGGCAGGCATCATCACCACTTTAAACGCCAGAACGAGTATTCTCGCCTCAGCAAATCCTATTGGCTCGAAGTACAACGTCAATCTTCCCGTACCGCAGAATATAGACCTCCCACCAACCCTTTTATCGCGCTTTGACCTTGTCTATCTCGTGCTGGACCGAATCGACGAAGTCAATGATCGGAGGTTGGCGAAACATCTGGTGAGTATGTATCTCGAAGACACGCCTGAGAATGCGAGTAGTCAGGAGATCATGGTAGGTCACCAGTTCGCTTCCTCCATTATCTTCAGGAATGTTCGCTAACCTTCTTGGCCAGCCAATTGAGTTCCTAACGTCTTACATCTCCTATGCGCGCAACAATTGCCATCCTACTCTCACACCCAACGCCTCGTCTGCATTAGTCTCGGCCTACGTCTCGATGCGCAAACTAGGAGAAGACATTCGCTCTCAAGACCGCCGCATCACCGCCACCACCCGCCAGCTCGAATCCATGATCCGACTGTCAGAGGCACACGCGAAGATGCGTCTGTCTCCCACGGTGGACGAGGATGATGTGCACGAAGCGGTGCGACTGATCAAGAGCGCCATCAAAGCGTCCGCGACCGACGCGCGGACAGGGTTGATCGATATGGGGCTGTTGAGTGAGGGAGGAGGCAGCCTGGAGAGAAAGAGAAGAGACGATCTGAAGAGGGCGGTGTTGGAGTGTCTGGACAGCGTGGACACGGTGAGCAGTGGAGGGAGCGTCAGATATCCAGACCTGTTCAGGAGGGTGGGCGAAGGGGCCAGTGTGGAAGTTGAAGGGCTGGAGTTCGGCGAGGCGATTCGCGGTCTGGAACAGGAAGGTAAGGTGCAAGTGTTGGGAGAGGGGGCGCGGAGGATGGTCAGGAGGGTTACTGGTGTGGTTTAGGGGGGATGCTTCTGGTGTTGTACTACTAGTAGGCACATACTGCTAAGGCGTTTTCTTGACGGATTTGTCACGGCAAGACGAGGAATACAAGTTCATCATTGCAGCTAAGAGTTTTCTGTGTCATTGTGTCCATTATCCATATGATACCTTGCTGCTGTTAATTGTTTCAAGTTGTTCTAGAGTGGTTGTAGGAGAAGGAGATTGGGTTGAACAGCGTGCACTGCCAGTGCTAGTGTCAGTGCGTGGTGGAAAGCCTTGGCGTCATTGAGGAGCGGTCTTGGCGTCTTGGCGTCTTGGCCGGCTTCTTGGGTCAATTGGATGCATCATCATGTTGTACTGTGTCAACCTGAGCACTACTAGTACCCGTGGTACTGAGGCTCTGCTCAAGGACCTATGGACTGCCTCGTCCGTGCTACGTGAGTTTCACGGTACGAATGGCAGCCCTCTCCCAAGCTCCGTTCCTTCCTACAAGCCAGCAATGGCCTCCTCAACAGGTGATACTGGAGTTACATCACCACCAATTATCCAGGATGAGCATCCTCCTTCTATATCCTTGTCGTCTCAGCAGAGGCTACTGCTCCGGAGCGAGCAATTCCACTCCCGAATCCCGTATCTGCGACGCTTTCCCCTCCCAGCAATTGGCATCATCAGCCTCCTGGTGCTGATCAACCTCTTGGCATGGCTGATCGCCGGCGTGGTCCTCCACTTTCACACCGCTCTCGTGTCCACCACCGCCTTGTCCTACACTCTCGGCCTGCGTCATGCTCTTGATGCAGACCACATCTCGGCCATCGATCTCATGACCCGACGCCTCATCGCAACTGGACAGCGGCCCGTCACCGTAGGCACATTTTTCTCACTAGGCCACTCTACCGTCGTCGCCATCACGTCAATTGTCGTTGCTGGCACGGCTACCGCTGTCTCGGGACGGTTTGACAATCTCGGATCTGTGGGAGGGATTATTGGTAGTTCTGTTAGTGCTGCGTTCCTTATCCTCCTTGGGATCATGAACGCATATATTTTGTATAAGCTGGTTGTCCAAATGCGAAAGGTGCTTAATTTATCCGAAGGTGAAGAAGAGCAAGGCTGGAAAGTGGAAGGAGGTGGTTGTCTGTACAGAGTCTTGAAGGGCATGTTTAAGCTGATCGACCGGCCGTGGAAGATGTATCCGCTTGGTGTCCTGTTTGGCATGGGGTTTGACACCTCGTCCGAAATTGCCTTGTTGGGTATCTCGGCCATTCAGGCGGCGAAAGGGACTTCGATCTGGTTGATCATGCTCTTTCCCGTGATGTTTACAGCGGGCATGTGTTTGGTGGACACGATTGACGGAGCGTTGATGTTAACGATTTACATACTGCCGATGGACGATGTCAAGAAGAATGACGAGACCACGGTTACGGGAGGCGATGGAAATAGCCGGGACGAAGGTGCTACCAATCAAGCCAATGCGCGAGCAAAAGACCCCCTCACTTTTCTCTACTACTCGATCGTGCTCACAGCTTTAACCGTCATCGTCGCTTTGGTCGTTGGCATCATCCAGCTCCTCACGCTGATCCTGAATGTGGCCGAGCCGTCCGGCAGGTTTTGGGATGGCGTTGAATCCGCTGGCGAGCACTACGAACTCATCGGTGGGGCAATCTGTGCCAGTTTTGTGGTGTTTGGATTGCTCTCCGTCCTACTCTACAAGCCTTGGAGGAGAAGAGTCGAAAGAAATAGACAGGCCAGGCGTCAACCCCAGCAGATCGGAGAAGATGCGGAGGAGACCGAGGCAACGGCAGCATCCGGCGGACCGTTCGATGTCATGAGTGAGCCCACACACCATGACGGGCGGAGGCTGGATACCAGAGCGGCGCATGCTGTGAACAATCCCAAGGCCACGGCACAGACCGTCCAGCATATTCTTTGACTCTCGGAGGTCTATCGTCTCTGGTCTGCTTGGCTATACTATTGCAATATCAAGCTCCCCCGACCTAGACTCAATCTACACGGCAGCAGAATCCATGATATTGAACATAGACTACAAGCCACACTCACATCAGCACGCTAGATCATACATAGCAATGAAAGCCAAACCCGCTTTCTGCTCTAAAGCGCTCGCAAGCCATACATCTTCCACCTACAATTTCATCGATACCCGTACATGCACCCGTATTCCTGTTGCCCCTCTCACAAACCAGGCCTATTGCTCTCAAGCCGGCCGGACCTACCCTCACCCTCCCCGCAATCTACTCTACCCCCTAATATCAATATCGTACCCATCATATCCCACTTATCTCAAGGACCCAAGCCTTCAGCCCCACAAGACCGAGCACAATGACATATCCCATAGTACGCACGATCTCGTTTCCAGGAAGGGGGGAAGATTGAAATTGTATGCCAATGCTTGAGATGAGAAATTGGGAAAAGTAATTCTTTTAAACACCGTCCTGGATCCTGGATTGGTATGCCCCCGTTCTCCTTGTCAAGTATAGTCGTGCTGGTATGGATATCGTAGCAAAAAACCCCCTGGCATGGCATGGTAATAGTGAGTGACCGACCATCCTAGGGACTCAATCCCGCACGGCTATCTTCGTCATCTGCTTGCATTGGAGCGAACCGCCTTTTTTTTCGCTGTGATTACGCGCCCAATGTTATGTTAGCTGTGGAAATGGTGGAGATCTCACAAAGTACACGACCACTACCCTGTCTGAAGGGTTTCGTGGGGTCAAGGAATCGGGAAGGGGGGGAAAGGGAAAAAAATCCCACAGATTCAGGATGTGATAGATGCGTGTGCCTGTGGCGGGTCGGGTTGATTGTTTGGTTGGTTTTTTTTTCCGTCTTGATCCCCTTCGCTGCGGCTCGCTCCGGGGAAATTTCTATACTCAGAGTATATCGATCTCGACGGTGTGGCAGGTGGAAAAATGCCCTGTAATTCCAATATTCACCATGATCTGTTTCCTAGCAAACCCCTTTTCCTCCGCCACGCCAAACACCCCCATGACCTCTTTTCGGCCTTCCTTCCCCGCCTCCTCCAAAAGCCCCCCAGGAAAATCCATCTCTACTTCTTCCGCCTCGCTCTCTCCTCCTCGGCCTGCCTCTTCTTCCACGCATCCCGAATCCCGCCCGCCGCATCCAACAGATCCTTCTCGGTGACATGATCCTCAATGCTCTCCATCACGCTCCTGACCGTGCTGACGTGATTCGCGTGCTCCTTATCGTCCCTCAGCCGATGGAACCTCCAC